TATATATATATATATATATATATATACTTTTTTTCAGGATTCTTTTGTAAATAGAAAGTTCAAAAGAACAGCATTATTTGAAATAAAAATATCAATATAAATGAATTGAATATAGTAATTTTTTTAATAAAACTTACTAACCCCAAAACTTTTAAACAGCATTGTAGATGTGAAAAAGTAGGTTTGTATTATAAAGTATTATAATATATTTGATCTTCCAATTCTATAGATAAATTAACCAATATCAACCTAAAATTTTTATATATTTTTCTTACTTCATTATTGGACTGTATCTCCAAAAGAAATTTTTATGGAAAATTGGTAAAAAAAAGAGGTGATATCTGGATACTATTTGCTGAATGAAACATACAATGTAATCAGAGTAATAATGAAAACTATTTTACGTACAACATTTTTTTCAGCAATCAGTCCACTAGTATTTCGTTCTGAACTCTGTTTATATAAATCAATGTTTCAATTGTTTGTCGCTCATTGCATCAGGTGCCACACAAAAGCAAGGCATTCCCCGCCATAATAAATGCATCTGAATGTAGACCAGAAGTGACCCAGGCAGGAGAGATTGAGAAAAAAAAAGTGGACTGTTTACGACAAAAGTAATCTATGTTTTGGCAGCAGCCCCAAAAGCGCTGGATTATTTCTTATTGTGACAAACCTGAGGTTGGTTTGTGGAGGTGAGGATTAAATTGATTTACAGTGAGCCTTTAACATCAGGGGGAAACACTGTATATCAGCCTTGACAGGTAAATCCCATCTCTGTGAAGCAGCGAGCGGGACAAGCAGAGTCCATTTGTCTGGCCGGTGACAGAAGCCGGGCCTCCGCTTCAGAAGCGTTAGAGGCAGGAGGAAGTCGTGTTTCAAAAGCCAGTTTTAATCTCATCTCTCACACTCTCCATCTTTTCAGAGCAAAACTATCGTTAGTATATTATTCGCCCGCTCCGCATGTCTTCGCAAGCCATTAAAAAGCAAATGTCTGGATCACTTGGGAAATCACAGCAGGCTCTGGTACACGTCGTTTGTCTTCTTAGATGAACACACCGCAGTCACGCCTACTCCCGCAGGGCATTAACATCCAGAGTTCTGCATTTCTGTACTGCACAACACAATTAGCGCCATGGAACAGCATAAAAATGTTACTCTTACATAGCGATACTCCTCCAACGGTAGATTTTCAATCTGCTTTAGCAATATTACTTGAAAAATCTCATAGTGATTAGAACCAAACTATAGATTTTATTAAGAAATAATGCAAAGTACAGTTTAATGGAGTGTGAGAAATATTCATAGTGGTTTATTTTCTCAGTTCATTATCAATGGTCCATATACCCTTTGAAGATATTGAGTTCGATGCATTTTCTATGCACGTCCCACTTCAGTCACTAATTTTATCCCTTAAAACTATTTTTTTATGACTGTAAATGTAATACTTTTCAAGAGTTTTTTGAGACTAAGTTAAAAAAGAAAACTCGAAGGAATAAATAGAATGGAACACAATATGGCAATATGTTCTCTAAATGTAAATGTCTTGTATAAGCAAAAGCTTCAAAGTTTGAAAATACAACTTCCAGAAGATATCCATTATTATTTTTATTTCACAAAAAAAAAAAAATTATATATATATATATA